CAAACTTGCAAGGCACCTTATCCTGCTGTGTGGACATTAGGTGGTGCTCATCAGTTTACTTTTGACATCTCAAGATAATGTCCTGATATGTATTTTTGGGTACCAAAGGGGATTTAGTGATCTAATTCATTAAAAGTGAATGGCATAGCTTGTTTCATGGGAAGCACCAATGTGCATGCTCTGGAGCATCTGCCTGATATTCCAGGTCTCTTTAATAGTAAGTTACAGATGTTTCTGAGATTTCCTGCTCATCTTCTTAACATGAAAAGCCCAAGTACTAGGGCCATCAGGTGAATATTCCCTCAAAGAACCAGGAGCTGTCGTGCCGGTGTGCTGCTAGCTAACCACCTTTTATTTAGTGTCCCCATGATGACTTCTCCTATGCTGTGAGTGGAGAAGCAGAAATATGACATCATGTCATATCCCAGCCTCTGGTTTTCCAGCTATACCGAGCATTGAGATGGAACAGGGATAATAAATGTGTGCTGGTAGCTTGGCTGCACTGATATAGGATGTCGAAAATAAATTCTAACGTGCTGAGCATTTATATCAAGTGTTATAAAATGCCTTCAAATTTTGTTTTTATTTTTTACATCTTGTAATTTTATTAGTGTATAAACATAGAGAAGAGTCATACAAGTATCTTTTTAGCAGTGGCTATTGGAATAATTCTGTTGTTATGGACCAATTATTGGCTCTGCTTGAACAAGCTTACAATCCATGAATCACTGTTGACACTGCTATAGGAACTTGGGGGTAAGGGTCTGAAAGTCTTGGTAGACTCAGCCATTGTGTTTTAGCAGGTCTGTTGGAAAGGTCTCTGAAGCCTACTTCTGATTTATAAGTAATTATTTCTTACCCTGGACTCAGGTATGCTCAGGTTATCATTTAGCCTTTATAGACACACCATGTGCGACTGATCACTCCTGAAGAAGCAGTGGTGGCCACTTTAACATGTGATGATCGCAGAGCAAAGATTGTGCGCATTAAAAAGCCACCAGTAGAGCTTCAACTAGCTACTCATATTTTGATGGCAAAGCACAATACTAATCTTATAAGATCATCACATAGAAATTCGAGCAAATAGTATAACTTTTACAAGCTAATTAGCCGTACTTATACAGGTCAGTAAAATTCTATATTGCCTATTTTTTAAGTGTATGGTTATTATTTCACACTAATTTTTGAGTTTATAATTGGGCAACTGACAATGCAGCATGATGAAATTATCAGTGACAAAAGAACACAACAAAAAAAAACCCTGTCTAACTGTAATCATGCACGTCTCTCACATATTGTTATTTACTGTCTGCAGACAGAGTGTTCTACACATTTCTGAGGTATTACTTGGGACATCGAGGGAGTTACTTAACTGTGTTTGCTGTATCATGTATCTAATGACGGCACACACGCAGAGTGTATGGAACCTGTCTTCTTCATCAAAGAGATATAATTATATTGTCAGCAAAGGGAAGCATTATATACAAAAGAGACTCATAGATTAGATTGGAATGTTATGACTTGGGAAACCTGATCTTTACAAATGTATGTCTGATTGGCGCATCATGAAAGATGCTTTGAGTTAAGATGAATAGTTGTTCCTAAGATGATCAAGGTGACAGGACTGAACACCCAGGAAATGGGATAAGAGGCTTTGTCTGAGAGCTATGGAACCTGGCAGGAGGAACGTTGGGAGCTCACTAAGATGCAGCAGGTGCAGGGAGAAAAAAATGAAATATTAAAAAATTATATCATATGCAGCCATAGGTACCAATTGTCCCAAATTTGCCAGAGCAGTCCTGTATTTTGGGCTACTGTGCCAGCAAATACAGGTCACGGGGACCTGTCCGTATTTTAAAATCTGCCAGCAGAATTTAAAATGCGAGAGGGGACAGGATAATAGGACCATGCACAGTGCGCTTCAACAGAGCTCTGTAAGCAGTCTGCTGGAAGCCACAGGCTATTAGTCAGTCTGACCACCTTCTTTAGGTTGTGCCTGCATGCCTGCTCTCTTCCCTGCTGACCTCTGCCCCAAAAAGTGGGCATGGAATGTTGATAGGTATGTGCAGCAAGTTTATCCATTATGAGAAAGAACAGTTTTGGTGGTCTTCCTATTTCGTTTCACTATACATTAAGGGAATGCAGAAGTGGGTCCAGACACTTGTGCCCCCTGTGAATCCTACACGACTTGGAGAAGTTCTAAAGCAGACAGGAAGTAGACAGGCACAGGAGGCCATTTTGCTCTCGGTCTTTTAATTTTATAAAAGAAAAAAAAAACACTGGTATGTTGCTCTAAAAAGTCTAAAAATGAAATGCTAAGAATAAAGACGAAGATTTATATCGTGCAGCAGAATAAATAAATGTGTCACATACACTTAAATTTAAAAAACGGAACCTTTAATTTGTAGTCAACACAGGACATGATTGCACTCTTTATTTTAATGGCAAGGAAATAACTATTTTTTTTGCTGTCTCCGTGGTTGGCATACACCACCAAAAAGACAACAGCGCCTTTAGAGAACTAGATAGCACAAATGAAGGCGGGGTCCTCATAAACCAACTTGTTTAGGGTGCAGTGACCTCAACATGTGGATTAACTTGAAGTTCTAAATGAAATACATTTTTATTGAAGACGAGAAAATTATCCTCATGATCCACCTGGCAAACGTGTTCTCCCCATCAGAAAAGACAAACACGTAATTATTAAGATTTATGTCAGTTTTTATCCCTGTCATCATCTTTCATTTCTTATGATATACAACTTGGATTGCATCTTATTATATAATCCTTTAAAAATCCAGTAATATTATAATAGTATGTGGTGTAGAATGACTGGTGGAATTATGGGTGTGACCCATTGCAAAATAAGAATTATAGCACATCTAATGTGATTCCCATACTTTGTATCAGTGAGTCTAGATTTTTTTTAATTTTGAACGATTTTCTTCCTAAATTAAGTTTATTGTTATAGATAATTTGTAAATTCGTAGAATTGAAAGAAAGACAAAGGTACAGACAGCCAGTTTTAAATATTCCGAAGTCTTAGTTTTTCAGACTGATTAAGTTACAATAAATCTGTTTGATAGTGTAATATTTTATTGTATTATGTTGAATGATAATTTTAATGATTCCCGTGACAAAGTTCTGCCGAACCTACCGAAATGATTAGTGGAAAAGGATTAGTGCTGCCCGGCTGTGCAAATATGAACGTAACACTTTGCTTTATTGATCATTGTGCTTTTGCGATTTTTGGGGGTTAATTTTGTGCCTATATTTTGGTTTGGATTTATTATTATTTTTTATTTTTTGTACACATTATTTATCGCTGTGCAGCATTTAACAGGGTGATCATTTGGTACCTTGCTTATTGCATGGCTATTATACTTTTGATATTGTTGTTATTGTGATAGCAATTTTCTATTCATATTGGAGTGTGCTTTTCTTTCTTTTTTTTTCTTTGAATATACTACTAATCACTTTAGTCCTCATCAAATAACTAGATCTTGTATGAAATACCTGATAACATTAAAAACACCTTCAAAAAAGCCCATTAAGCAGTTACACTTTTTCCTGGCAGTTTGGAGATTATGTATATAAAAGCGATCCTATGCCAAGTTGTAAAACTAAATCAATCATCATGGAACACAAATACAAAAAGATAAGTCCTTCGCTCACTCCCATCACTCCTGGGCAGCAGCAACGACCACAGTACACATCAGTCCCAATACATACAGTAAAAACCAAAGAAATACATAGGGATTTAGGAGAGAGCGCAGGTAACTTTTTCTATGGTTTTTCAATCATCATGGAACCCATTTGAATGTTCGTGCTGATTAATTTGATTTCCAAAAGTACTACTCTAAATTAAAGATTTGCCATACAGATGCTCCAGAAGTTATGTATTACTGCATCCGTCAGTATGCATGTATGGAAGACTTTTGTTGTGGGTAAAACCTAGCACAAGTGATATATGCCAGCATTTGTGCAGCAGATTGAATAATAGGATTTGTTGTTGACGCAAAACATTTTATAACTGTTTCTTTTTTGTAGATATAAAACACACTGTTTTAAACACTGACTAGTCTCAAAGTACATCATATATAGTAAAGTATGCAGTCTTTATTATGTAAGATTGGAGTCCAGACCAGATTGTTTTTGGGTTGAACACCCCGTCTAGCACCCCAGTTTCAGGTGCCCCTTTGGATGTGACCACAGTAAAGTATAAATTTGAGGAGGTTCTGGATTGTAATGTCACTTTAATTATAATTTTAATTTGGTATAGAGTAGATACGATCTGCATTGTAAGTATATACATCAAAACACTATCACTTTAATTGTTTAGTTTTGACACTGTATTTTTTAAACGGTATTTATCATATTAATTTTGCATTATATATATATTTATTCACAATGCTTTTACAAACAGATTATTTAAATACACTTTAGCACTAAAATTATTGAATTTGTCTTCCATGTTAGAATTAGTGTAGGACCCACTAATATTGGGGTATTGTGAAGTAGTGGTGGGCTTAACACAATATGGCCATATGCTTGTTTGCTGATATAGAGGATTTTAAGTAACCTTAGAAAATGTAAAAAAAATGTTTTGTGTGTGTGCCATTCCTTAATCTGTATTATGTAGTCTCAAAGTACACTGAAATCATCAATAACATCTTTACAAAGTTTTTTTCATGTAGTTACCCCCTCTCTATCTAACACACGTGAAAACAAAAGTCTCTCATTGGTTATTGAAGTCTAGTGCCTCTTGTGTTTTCTTCATACTGAACTCTTTCAGTAGATTACATGCTATTTATCCCAACAAGTATAAGCCATTTTATCGACAAAATTAAGTTCAATGTATTTGTTTAATATTGCTCTACCTAGCACCTCTGCAGTTGCTATAATAAAACAAAAACCATCTCCCGCAACACTTTCATCCTAACATTGTCATTTCGGTAACATAGTAGTGGCTGTAAACAACCTGGATTTGTTTTTTTAATATAAATTTTTCTTTATTTTCAAAAGCGCAAAGGTTATGGGGTACAAAAGAGAAGAAAAATTATTTAGATGTAACATAGTAGGGTATTGTAATACAATTGCACATAGTTAAATACCATTCATAACTCTGTTCGTCTAATTTGGCTGCGTGAGCGACCTTCATTGTGAGGTTCCGGTGTACTGGATATGGTTCTAGAGTGCAAGGTGCCCACAGCTACGACCTGGATTTGGGTGCCAAAGGGTAATAATGCCATTAGATTTAGGACATTCAACCTCACACTATTATTTTGCCATAACAAGCTAATACAATTTCATCACCTCTGGGAATTTTACCCAAAATCCTTGATTGAATATAGGTGACATAAAAAAAATCCTAAAGTCTTAACAACTGAATTAAGACCTGTATCGGAACATGATAGTCACTATAACTGGGGAGAGACAGTGTGGAATTTTGACAATAGAATATCAAAGTGTTACTAATTTAAATGGCCCATAGTTAGTTGGTGTAGAAACTTTCCAAGCTATCATTCTAGTAGGCATGTCAAGGCTGAATGAAACTGGAATAGGGATGAGTCAACCAACTCAATCTGTGGACATCCAGAGCCGTTATAAACAGTGAAACATAAATTAGCATTACCTTTCTGTCTTTCATAGCACTCCTATTTACATAGATTCTGTCAATATCCATTAAAATGATCCAGTCTTAACAGACATCCCAAAATTGCCACTAATACAAAATTATTGATCAGATTAAATAAAAACGAAAAAAAGGAAACCTTTGCATCTCACTCGTCAAGGCAGTGTTATATAAATTGTTCTGCTGTATAGGTTATTGTAGTTACATGATTTAATACAATGATAGACTGGACCAGTGCAAGATCACCCTGGACCTTCATCCTAATACCCAGTATTTAGACGTGTTAAATCTGACTTGAATAAAATTACTAAATTGTTTAGCATCAAAAGGAAAATTTATTTCATTTAAATCAGTAGCTTACAGTATCTCTAAAGTTCAACTAAGTATATAATTCAGGTTTTAGATATGGTTTATAGAAAACAGAAAGTCATGCATAGTTGTTTTAAGGGCAGTTATTTGCTTTGGAGACACACATGGAAGAGGTTGCTTTATTGGTCTTGTCCACTGCAAACTGAAGGACATGTTCCTTTTTAATACTTCTCTTCAGTTTCTTTGACTTGTTGAGATACCACTACTCCATCTCGCATTTCTTCAATAATGGTTTTAATCTTTCGGCTTTTGGAAGAGTCTGAAAGTAGAAGCAAACACATTTAACATTAAGCATAAAATGTTTTTAGGAAAAAAAATATATAGCTGTAAGACCACTGAACTGGAAGACATTAGAGGGCAATATCTTGAACAATTTTTTTACTGATATTCGAAGGGGACCGTTATAGAATGTGCTTACCTGGAGTGGGTGGTGGAGGGATCTTTATGCTGTGCGGAAACAGACAATTCATACATAAGTGTTTTATAGAGAAAAAATATATAATGTATACATTTAAAATGTAGGAAATAGATGTCAGCCTAGGTTTGAGTTTCTAGAATGTTACAACTTACTATATTCTGCATAAGTATATATTGTTGTGCCCTGGTACATTCAATTATTAAGAATAAAAGAAAATCATGCGAAACTGCTAATTTTTATTTTATAAATAACTCCTGAATTTTAGGGTTTTTAAAATACACATTATTCCTTAAATGTCACAATGAGTAGTGTTCAACTTATATTGTTATAATATTTGTCTAATGCAGTGACTTCTGCCATTTCACAGATGAAATTGAATAAGCTCTTCCAGTCACTACCTTGACTCTCCATCAAGCAAGCGGCGATATTTCTCAATTTCCATCTCCAGTCTGGTCTTGATGTCGAGAAGTTGTTCATACTCCAAACTTTGTCTCTCCATGTCTCCTCTTAACTCACAGAGTTGTTGTTCTACCGAGTTAATTTTTGCTTGAATTTGGGAAAGTTGGACACAGTAGTTTCCTTCAGTCTCAGCTAAAGAGTTCTCCAGTGAATTTTTCTAATAGGACAGATAGCAGTTATTTTTTAATTAACTTTGTGGGTACTCTATGATTTGTTATCCCAAGTTAACCCAACCATAATAGGTATTTTGAACATCTGTCCAATCATCCAGTGCATAAACTGGTTTCATCTATATTTATGATACATATATGTTATGAAATGAACAATGTAATGATTGGGAAATGTGAAAATATATGTGTACCCTATGTATATGTTATTCCTACCGTGGCCAGAGCCGCTTGCAGTTCAATTTCCAGTGTTTGAAGAGTACGCTTTAGGTCTGTGATTTCAGTTCTGCTTGATTGAACCTGTTCAGCCCCACATGAGATCTGCTGCTTGAGGGCATTGCTCTGCAACACAGCCACACAATTGTAACTTATATGAGCTATTTCAGTTCAAACTATTGCATGTGTGATGTGTGATAATATTACCGCTTCAATGAATTGAGCTTCTGCCTCTCTACGATTTTTCTCAGCCATTTCTTCATATTCACATCTCATGGCATTTAGAATTTCGGTCAAATCAATTCCTGGAGCAGCCTTCATCTCGACATTGAGTTGGCCAGTGGCTCCCTTGTAACACTTCATCTCCTTTAAAAAATTAAAATACAATTCTTAATTCTGCTCATGGATTGGTGAGACAGTTGAAAAAGATTACGTTTTATTTCCTACTAGCATGTGAAAATTGGAGGACTCATGAAATAATTGTAAAATACCACTACAGATGCAGGATACATATCTGGTAGGAGAACCTAAAACCATAGTCATATATTTACAGATACTTAATGGAAAATATGTCTGACAAATGAATGGTACCTCTTCATGGTTCTTCTTGAGACATGCTATCTCCTCAGTCAAACTTTCAAGTTGTGACTGTAGGTCACACTTAGACCAGTTCAGCTCAGCCTGAACTTTGCGTAGACCATTAATATCTGCCTCAACACCTTGACGGAGGCAAAGCTCATTTTCATATCTGCATGAAAAGAAATAATCTAATTAGTCAAAATAGCTTTTCTAATCAGAAAATGATTAGATGTCAGAAACTCAAGAAAGATTGGAGACACACTTGAGTTTAAAGTCATCTGCGGCCAGTCGGGCATTGTCAATCTGAAGAACAATACTGGCATTGTTCATAGTAGCATCAAAAATCTGCAACAACAAAAAAAGAAGAGATGTTTTTATTACTATACTTTCTTTGCTTTTCATTAATTTAAATCTGTTTATTGGACTCGAATGTGTATAACTTTTCATGAGAAATATGCAATATTTTTTAATGCCAACAGAAACTTTGATGTAATCCTTTTAAGAAATTTTTATAAAATTTGTTTATCATTAAATCAAAAACAAAAATGTAAGATATCAAATTGGAAGTTTATTATATCGGTTAATTTCATAATTTTAACAAACTATGTAATAAAATATCCAGTACTTATATAAAATGTATTTAAGATTACATACCTGTTTTTTCAGGTCATCGATACATCGATAATATTTACTGTAGTCTTTTTCTTGCATATGTACATTGCGATGTTGTTCATACCACTCTCTAATTTTACATTCAAGATCTTTGTTGGCCTCTTCTAGAGAACGCACTTTATTTAAGTAAGAAGCCAGACGGTCATTCAGATTCTGCATGGTTTCTTTTTCTCCTCCAGATAGGAGAACATCCCCACCATGTCCAAAACCACCTGCGACACTAAATCCTGCATTCACTCCAAAGCCACTGAATACTCCTCCACCACAGCCACCAGCTGCACCTGCACTCAGGCCACCACAATAAGAAGCTCTTGAACCATAAGCTCCTCCAGAGTTCCCAATGAATGAGCAATTAGATGTTCCATAACCTCCACCACCACCAACAGACATTTTTGAAGATCCAGAGCTCTTTTGGAAAGACATATTCTTGATGTGTAGCAAGATATGAAGCTACCTAAAACCTCTTCTTTAAGCAATGATACAGAAATGCTGAGAGTACCTTAAAAATACATTGACATTTTATACAAGAATTTATGGGTGTTTCAGAACCTCCCAAATATAATTTTTGGCACTAAGGTTCGTGGTGAAATGGTAATTAAAAAGCAAGTCTAGTGTGTCCATTTTGGCCTAATAAGTGAAACCCTCAGGGTACTTTTTTACGATAGTATTTTATAAGGGTGTGGCATAGATACGTATTTTTTTTATTTCCTTTCGTTGTCTCGATGTAGAAACATTATTTAAATATGATGATTAGATTGTCTTGTACTTTTTGTTGTTGTTTTAGGAGAAATTTCCTTGAATAATTGATTTACTAATGTAATGATTCATGGAAACATAATGGCTCTAAACTGTTTTAACCATATTTGTGCCAAGTATTTGAATTGGATGCCAAGAATTGGATTTTAAAAGGTATTCTCCTAGACAGAGATCCTTATTGCCAAGCAAGCTTAAAATGTAAAATAAGTACTTAAAATGATTTGTCGTAAAACCTGACTGATTTTCTGTATCTAACCACTTAACATCATGATGGTCCATGAAGTCATGCAGTGCAGGACTTTAATGCCCAGTGGTGGCATAGACTGTCATGCATTAAAAGTACCAGCAGGGTTTAAATCACTGCTGGTACAAAGGAATCCCAGGTATCATTCGAAACAACAGAGTGACAGATGAGCTACGAGCAGTGCTCAATTTGAATGTTGCTCATTGTCCTTTAAATGCCATGGCTGAACTATCTCGCTCAGCCTCGGTAATTCTTTTACCTTTAAAACCGTACTACACACCTTCTTATAACTAACTGAAATCCTAAATATATTGGGTATTTTAACAATCAGGACTCATTAGTGAATCTATTTTGAGTTTGTTTTCTTTATTTGCGCTTGGTGTGTATATATTATTAAAGGGACACTTGTCAGGATTACAGAATGATCCAGCACGTAGAATTGTGTAACACAGAAGACTGATAGGTAACGTATACCAGACCCTAGAATGGCCGGACTAACGTACCAAAGAATAGTCAGAAATAGCCGAGGTCAAGGGATACAGAAAGAGACACAACGATAAGGAAAAGCCAGGACTCAGGGATGCCAGAAAACAGGGAAGTCAAAAACAATGCCAAAAGTCGAATAACCAGAATCAATAACGCGCTCTTGGACAACCACAAGGGAAACCACGACAGGGCACTGAGCAGGATGAGAACTGGGCCTAAATACCCCTCCTCTAGGTCTGATAGGCTGTAACCGGCCTTTGACCCCAAAGTCAGTTACCAGGTTCCCATTTGCATAATTGCTGCTCAGCATTAACCCTTCTGTGGATTTGGTTTCTGCTCGCACAACTTTACCTGTGTGGACAGTAAATGTAATTAACCACATTTTTATAAGCGGATGAATACCTGACAACACTATAGTCGCCAGAACAACTACAGCTTATTGAATTTGTTCTGGTGAGTAGAATCATTACCTTCAGGCTTTTTGCTGTAAACACTGTCTTTTCAGAGAAAAGGCAGTGTTTACATTACAGCCTAGTGATAACTTCACTGACCACTCCTCAGATGGCTGTTAGAGATCCTTCCTGGGTCTAAATGCATCCAAACATTCAGTGTCTCCTCTCTCTGCAGGCAAACACTGAACTTTCCTCATAGAGATTCATTGATTCAATTAATCTCTATAAAGGAGATGCTGATTGGCCAGGGATGTGTTTGGATCATACTGGCTCTGCCAGTGATCTGCCTCCTTGTCAGTCTCCTATGGCGAAGCATTGTGATTGGATCAAGCTACCACTTCTGATGATGTCAGCAGACTGCTTGTTTTTCGGAGTCTAACAGCATGCAGAGTTACAGCTTCAGGCTTGAATACAGTAATATTTTTACTATATTTATGGAGGCATGAGGGGCCTAGGGTGGCTAGATGGTGGTTTTAACACTATAGGGTCAGGAGTACATGTTTGTTTTCCTGACCCTATAGTGCTCCTTTAAATGTAAAACTGAGAAATATTGTTTTTACACTTTTCCCCCTTTTTCTTTTGTCAGTCGTTTTATTGAGGTCTAAGAAGATATAAGATATTTAGTTAAATGCAAGTTGCAGTACCACAGAGTAAAATTGAATAAGATGATAAAAATTATTTATTTATTGTTATACGAGCATGAAAAGCAATGCTGCGATAGAGATTTCTGATATTACGAAACAAGTGACATAATAACATGGGTATATATAAGGCATCAGGTAACAAACACGATTGGTTAATAGCCTAGCTTAAATGTAGAGTATTAACCAGATATTCAATTAGCTAATAGCATGCTCAGAGTAACTGAAATATTAGCATCCTATGTATATATATATATATAGACTACAAGAAAACCAAACAAAAGTCATAACAATAACTAGTTGCTCGATAAGATAAACATGAGTTGACATCTAGTTAATGTTAATATTAAGATAGGTACAGACTCTCTAGAAACAAAATGCAATCAACTTCAGATAAGATAAGATCAGTAGTGGAGACCACCAGAAGAACTAATATCTCGAAAAGGCTCTGTGACGGAACGCTGGCACTCCGACTGAGTACCTCCGCCAATCGATGCTCCTAGTGCTCGCTGAGGACTCCAAGCACTCCAACCGACACCATCAGCACTGCAGACCCCACTTCCAGCGATGTAACTGCGCCGGGGTCTCTGCTGTTTCCACCCACCCTGGACCCAAGGCCGGGATCCAGCTTCCAGTGGGTGAACCTCTCTTTCCCCAGAGAGCAGGAACAGGAACAAATCAAGCTATTGCAAGAGCTTCCTCTGGGGAGTAAGTGATTATAGCAATCCCCAGAGTGTAGGTATCCCTTCCCCCAAACATGAGCCAAGGCTTAATGCTGGAACAAGACTGATTTACTGGCACACAGAACTCACAATTTATGCAACACAAAACTCCTCCTCTGGGCCAGGCTAGATAATTGAGTTTCTACAATACACAAAGCTCAATTATCTGCTGGCCAGAAATAATACAGTTTATAAAACACATCACAGGGACCCCAAAACATGCAATAACCCCATAAAAATATCCTTGGAACCGGGGGATCTGGTTGAACCACATATCCAAAATTCACCCAGATCCGTTCAGTACTTTGGAAAATACAGTTTAATGCAGATTCCACAGAACTTATACAGGCTAAATGAAAAACAATCACTTTATAATGTGTCCCCTGCTGTATAGTCCAAAACCACTGCACGATGTCTCTGTGCACCAAATACTGGCGAGATGGCACCGTGTTGAAAAGTCCAAACAGTGTCTGTGAGTTAAAATGGCCGCCATCCATTGTTCTCACCATGTGCTTCTGATACAGGAAATGGTGGCCACCCAGTAACTCCACAGTATGTCCCCAGATGGTTCTTAAAGGGCCAGCAGCAGCACAACACAAATCCATTATGCCCAAATCATGTCTTTAAAGGGCAATACAAACCAGGGGCCATAGTCACAGGGCAAGAGGCGGGCAAGCAGTCCTCTCCAGGCACAAGTGGCGAAGGGCACTTCGTCACAGGCTCATTTTGGGGCAGAAAGTATGTTATATACATGTAAAAACCTAAATATGGAACAAAGAGCTGTTTTTGGCAAGTACTCAGCTAATTCCCAGACTAGGTAGCGGTACCACATATGGTAAAGAGATAAGATGATAAGAGACATCATTCCAGCCCCAGGCTTGACAAGGAGCCACCACCGTAGCACCACTGATCCAGTAGAACCTGGCGACCAAGTCCTTCCCCCCAAGGGGGTCTGTGTGCAGATCTCATCTTTCCTGTCGTGTCCTCTGACCGTCCCTCTACAGTTGTGGGTGTTGTAGAGAGGATAAAACCCCGAAAGGCTCCAAGTCTGGGTGGATGCGTTGGTGAGGAAACTCAACTTGTAATGGCAACCAGTTCTCTTACAGCAGTGTTCTCTCCACGTGCCTTGATGTTTGCGATGATCAGTTGGCTTGCTCATCCCAGGTGAGGTACAGGATAACCCCCATCGGTCCAGAGTGGGGGAGAGAAAGCTTTTAGCAGAGCTCAGTGAGATAATAGAATGCAGGAGATTGACTGTCTCCCTTGCCTCCAGTAGTCGAGTAGGATACCGGACTGTTAGCACCTGTTTTGGATCTGCAGCAGGTAAATGAGTGGTAACAGGATGTTCCTCAGGGTTTCCAATCTCAGAAACTATAAGGTAATTTAGTGATCAGTTGCTTAGGAAGCCAATTTTCTGATTATACTACTTGAAAAATATGGAACTGCTAGATCTAGCTTTCACTCAGCATGGCGTCCAAGCCCTACTACCAATAATTTTTAGATTTTTGAATACTGTTTATCATTGCATTATGTATACATATAGGGTATCAAAAAAACATTATTTTACATTTAATATATATATATATAAAAGAAACCAAGAGGGCTGCACTCACCTAAACATGCATACATTATAGGGTGCTGCTGGGGCCAAAATATACAAAAAATTGAATCCAGCGCACTCGCTTATTCACTAAACAATGATTTCAAATCTTAGAGATTGTAATAGTTTTATTTAAAAACACCTCACCTAGGCAAAAAATGATGGGGGCTTAGTTACATTATATGATCATACATTGCATAAGCCTGCCAACTACGTCAAATTATCCCATATTCGGCATGTCCTATCCTAGTAGCAGCTTAATGCTTGCTCTTATGAGATTAATCCATATATATATATAAGTGCACTTAAACAGAAAGGGGGAATTGTGTGGGGAATTGTGTGCAAAGGTGGTCACAAATGCTTTGCATTACAAAAAATGCCATGGTCCTTAAGGAGTTAAAATGTCATTATCAAATATTATTGATCCAAATACAGAGGGGTTTGGTAACAAATCCTACTACCCATTAAAGTAAGGATTATTTAGTGTATTGCTAAGTTTTACAGCAGTTCATTATGTACTATAAATTGGATTGGAAGTTGCAGTAGAATGGGTCTGATAATTGCTCTTCTATGCAATCCTTAT